TTGTCTTTTTTTTTTAATACCACACTCAAACGAAGCAACTGAGAGAATCTTAAGTATAAAGTTTGCTTCCGGGCGAAAAGAGAGAAACCGGCTTCTAATTAAAATTACTTAAAGTGAACCTCACATTGTGGCGAATACTGCGGCAACGCGAAGAGAACAACGAGAAATAGGCAGAATATTCGAGGAATGACGTAGAATGCTCCAAGAAGAGAAACGTCAAGTTGGATGAACACTGCGAGAGAAAGAGAATGAGCGATAAACTTCAGAACGTTCTAGAGTTGCCATAAGTGCGAGCGCAGGTATATAAGGGCGCCGCCACAGCGAAGTGAGCTAGTTACAAGTCAGCAAGCTACAAGTAAAGTGAGCAGAGAGGTAATTTGCGAATAAGCAAGCTATAAGTTTAATTGTGTTAACAAGTTTAGTAAAGCGTTGTTATTGCTTTAACAAGTATTGTTAAGTGTTTTTACTGTATTAGCGAATATTGTAAATTGTCTGTTGTACAATAAATTTAATTGTACTACAATTTGGTCATCGTTAGCATTTATTTAAAAATCCAGCGATGTGAGCCAGAGGATATTTGGGGAAATCCCTCAAGGTATCATGGATAATCGTAACAATATTAAAAGTAATCTTAAAATGAAATGTATAGAAATCTTTGACTATCTAAACACTGAAAATGGAAATGATCTCATTATTGCTATTCAAAAATGTCATAAATATAAAATAATTTATTATTATTATTTTTTATGGACTATATTTCATTTATATACCAAAATATTGTTAAAACAGGTACTCTGGCGTTTTAGGGTATTATCTGTTACTTACATCCATAATTTTGCTTTGAACAAAATTTCCCGAAAAGTACTGATTTTTTAGCATGAAAAAGTCTAACGTACAACCCTAATTGCGCCGAAACATTGCAAATGTTGTAAAAATATCGCTATCCGATTTTTACCGACGCATGCTACATTTATACAAACAAAGAAACCTTGAAATACTCTGTAAAGCACACAATAAATGTAATCACAAACAATATTTTGAATTAATGAACATAGTTCATTGCAAGTATTACACTTAAAAGGCAAATCAAATGAAAACCTTTATGAAAACTATAAAATGATTAGTTTAAAAGTAATTGACGTAATGATTTGAAATAAATACATATTCAAGTTGCTGAGTTTAAATCACAAATAAAATTGAAAATACATGCAGGAAAAGGCAATTGAGTGCTTACTAGGACATCGCCATGTTAACTAAATGGTTTTCGAATGTGATATAATTTCAAATGTTGCTAAACACTCTACTATCGATAAATCTCTTATTTCTTGCTTTAAACTTATTAAGGAAAGGCAGATATTAACTCTTTTAAGATAATTAATTTTAAGCTTGGAGTTGCGCCATCTCTTATTGACCAGGTCTTGAATCCTGCGCTGTGGCCTGCGAATGTGAAGGTTCGACCATTTCCGAATTTTCAAAAGGGCGATCCTCTCAAACACAAAATGTAGCGTTATCCAAAAAATTAACATTATTCAATCATCTTTCAGAATATGGGTGGCATTTGCACCAAGTCTGAAAGCATACGCACTCATAGTGCCCATTTGGACTTTGACATCATAATTTTTGTTGAGACATGGTTAAACTCTAATTTTTACGATGAAGAATTTTTTACTTCAACTCACAATAACGTATTTCGTAAAGATCGCGATACTAGTAGAACGGGGTGTTCATTGGGTGGAGGTGTTCTTTTTGCCGTCCAGCATTCGCCATACGTATTTCATATAGAACTCTCTAATGAGGACCCTATTCTTGACCAATTGTGTGTTTGTGTCAAAAGTTCTTCTGGTTTTGGCGCTTTTTATCTAGTAGCCTCCTACATTCCGCCAAGTAGTAGTTTTGAAATCTATAAAGCTCATACGGACAATATTGTCTCTCTTGCTCAAAATAAAGTTAATGATAATCATCTCTGCGTGTTTGGCGATTTTAATCTTCCGAACATTATATGGTCAAAACATTTTTCCAACTTTGGGCTAATTCCAACTAATATTACAACTTCCCTTGAATCATATTTCATTGATAATCTCTTAAGTTTAGATTTAGGTCAAATTAATTATTTTGATAACAAACTTAATAAAATTCTGGATCTCATTTTCGTTAATGGCAACTTTAACTCTACCATCTCTCAATGTCTTTTTCCCTTCTCTCCTACTGACAAAAACCATGTTTCAATGCTGCTTAGAGTCGAATTTTATACATTTTCTGTCAGCAAACCTGACAACGGAATTGCCTTTAATTACTCTTCCTGTGACTTCTCTAGGCTTAATGATTTGTTATGTGCTATTAATTGGGATGACATGCTTTCGGGATTAAATGTCACAGACTGCTTTAATGCATTTAAATCGACACTGTTGGATATATGTTTCTCTAATATTCCCCAAATAAAAAGGCGGTGCTATAAGTTCCCATGGTATACACCTCAATTAAAGAAACTTAAAAATCTGCGAACAAATTCTACAAAAAGTATACAAAAACTAAGAATCAACAATTCTGCATTAAATATTAGTATTATTTTAAAGAATTTAATCGCTTAAACAAATTTCTTTATCGTAATTACATACTTAATGTTGAGAATAATATTAAATCGAGTCACAAGGCTTTTTGGCAAATTCATCAAATCCAAAAAGTCCTTTGCGAATGTACCAGCTGCCGTGTGTTTGGATGATAAAGTGACAAGCTCTCCTTATGAGGTGGCAAATTTATTTGCCGAGTTTTTCCGATCTAACTTTGTCCGAGACAATATAGACTCCTATAATTTTCCCGAAGGTAATCAGTTGTCTTCTCTAAATTTTGGTAACTTGAATCTCTCCTCTGAGGAACTATCAGAAGGAATATTAGCTTTGAAGCTCTCATCTCAGACTGACGTGGACGGCCTCTCGGTAATTTTATTCAAAAAAGTCCCGCTATAGTCATTCCACTAAAAGTAATTTTTAATAAATCTCTAGCAGCCGGTGTCTTCGTTGATGATTGGAAATTGACTACAGTAACACCAATCTTTAAAAGTGGCAAAAAGACCGATGTACGAAACTACAGACCAATTTCAAAGCTGTAGACCACTTCCAAATTATTCGAAGCTATCATTTAATTTCTTCCAACCAACATGGTTTGGTATCAGGCAGGTCCACGGTCTCCAACCTGGCCTTTTCAGCGAATATTGCATTGCATCATTTTCGTCCGGACCTCACGTAGATTGCATCTTCACAGATTTCTCCAAAGCTTTTGACACATAGAATTCTCTTACGTATTTTGGTTTTGACTCGATTTTCCTTCAGTGGTTTCAATCATATCTAAGTAAAAGGCGTTGTCTGGTTACGATTTAGGGTGAAACTTTTGCTCCTTTCATTGCCACTTCACGGGTACCTCAAGGAAGTGTTCTAAGCCCTCTACTTTTCGTCCTATTTATAAATGAAATAAGCAGTTACTTTTCATTTGCTAATCACTTATTATACACAGATGACTTGAAAATTTTTGCCGCAATAAGAAATTTAAACGATCTAGCTAGGCTTCAGGCTGATCTTAATGTTGGTGTACTGATTAGTTTATATCTTTAAATATTAAAAAATGTTGTCAAGTCACGTACTCCAAATCTCGTAATCCTCTGCAATCGTCATACAATATCTCTAATAATTTCCTTCAATCTGTGGATGAGATCAAAGACCTTGGAGTGATCTTTGACTCACATTTCTCTTTCTCAAGTCTCATCAATTTTATTGTCTCGAAGTCCTTCTCGATCTTAGGTTTTGTGAGACGAAATAGTGCTAACTTTTCAGATCCTTACACAATTAAATTATTATTTACTGCGTTTGTTCGGTCCAGGCTGGAATATGCTTCATTCATTTGGAGACCTTATCACCGATTTTCTATAGCAAGAATTGAACGGATGCAAAAGGCGTTTCTGAAATTCGCCCTAAGATGTTGCACCGCATTATTCCGGAAAGAACTTTACGAAGCTCTTACACTTTTTACCTTAGGAAATTCAAAACTAATTATGAATCCAAAGCCCCAATTGCACGGGCGCTTCGCGAATTTAATTAGATCTCGAATTCCATTTCGTTTGATTTTTAAATTTCTATGAATCAGTTGACTTCTGTTGAATTCATCTTTTTAAACTCTCATATACTAATTTGAATAATTTCAGTAGTCAGTAAGAAGCAGGGAACGGATTTTTAGGACCTAAAAATCTATAAAAAAGGCAAAATAAAGTAACGAAATATGCTGGAAAAGGCAAAATAAAATAGCGAAAAAGGCAGGAAAAGGCACTAGGTATTGCAAAAAAGGCAAAAAAGACAAAACAAAAAAGCGAAGAAGGCAGGAAAAAAAAGGTATTGCATTCAATGAGCCAATGTGCCAAAATGCGGGTATAAACAATTATTGATTATTTAATATCGGAACCGAGATCATGTAAGTGAATTGATTGGTTTTCACACACTTTTGAAACACAAATTATATGCTTTTTTACTGCAGACAAGCTGTTGCCCCAAAACACAGCAGAAATCTTCCAATCAGGTCTGCCAACTATCCTTAGTTATGAGGTGCCATATTGAGGATAAAAAAGGCCCAAAATGTGCGAAATAGAAAAATAAAAGTGCCAAAAAAGGTATAATTCCTTTTAATTATTCACATTTAGCAATAAAATAAAGCTACATTTTCCAAACAAAAGTGCAATGATAAAATAAGATAAACCAGTTGAATAGTCTTTATAAATTAGAAAACTTTAGTTGAGAAAAAGAAGTGCACGCAAAGGATTTCATAAAAATGTATTGAAATGTAAGTTTTTTTTACAAAAGTGCCATTTTGGCACTTTGTGCCAAATTGAAAAATTAAGTGCCATTTGAAGTAAAATAGG